CGGGGTGGGCGGTGAATGTCATCAAGGGGGGGGAGCACGCAGGGAGGGGCCTGGCCTTCCAGGAGGTCATGATCCTCCCCACGGGCGTGGGGACGTTGGGGGGGGGGGCGTACTCTTATGCTTTGCATGCCTTAGCGGTTAGACCATTGACCACGCGTCCTCGAGAGGACGGAGCATTGTTCCCACAGGACCGATCACCGATGGCCAATCGTTCCTTCCTACTTTGCCAAAGGTGGCTCAAAAATGTCTTCCCTAGTCTGTCTATCCTACCGATGTCACTTCCCGCCTTTTCAAACCACTTCCTACTCCCCAGTACCGCTACCGTCCTCTCCTCTCTATTCCATGCCTCAAACATCTCCCTGTACGTCCCTTGTATTTTTCCCAGCTCAGTCATGTACACTTCCCTCTCCTTTTCGTACCACGGACATTCCGCGACTACATGAACACTGTCTTCGCATTCGAAGCCGCAATGACATTTGAACTTGTCGTCTTCGTCGTCTACCGTCCTATGTCTTCGTCGACGTTCGCGAAGGCCTATGTCCCCGGTCCTGAATTTGACCTTAAGCTTTGTCCCTGCATCCATTGGTCCATGTAGGTAATCCTTGAACCCTATTCCTTCTTTCAACATTCCGTACACTTCTAGACCCTCCTTATCCTTGGATTCTTTCCTTAGATTCTGTTCTTCTCTCTCGGCACAAGCAACAGATATCTTCTTCTTGAACCCCTGTAGACCCTCCGTTTCCAGCGTTTCATCTTCGTCGATGTCCAATCCCTTCCATACGTCCTCTACAACCTTGACCCATTCCGTGGGTTGTCTACCCCTCTTTTTATTTGCCCACTTCGCCTCCCATACTATTCTCGGCAACCTCTCCTCTCCCATCCCGCACATGCGGTACTGCCATGTCAGCTTCCTTACGTCTCTTCCCGACCGTAGGGATTGGATCCCCAATTCTGCCCTGACTGCTGCATTACTTGTGCGCTTGGAGCATCCTAGGATAATTTTCGCTGCTTTCATCTGCGCCGCCTCGAGTTCTTTCACTACCTTCTTATTTCCTTCCCATACTTCTCCGGCGTACTCCAGCGGCGGTACGATTACGCTCTTCAAAACCGTCAATTTGATGCGTGTATCAAGGTGCCGGTTTGCGAGTATTGGGTGCAGCTTCCCTGCTCGTGCTTTGCCCTTTTCCGCTACCTTGGACATGTGTGCATTCCACGAGCAATCTTTTGCGATCTCTACTCCGAGGTATATGTACTGGTCGACTACTGCAATCTCCTCGATCCCCCACTTCCATGT